AAGCTACCCTTTTCCATGCATTTTTAGTCCCAGATTAGTGTGTCGGTTAACCACACACGCTCCACTAACGAATTAGCAAGGTGCAAAGTGCAATTTCATGGGTTAGCACCAAATTCACATTTTTCCTAAAGTAACTAAGATTGGGAATTTAATAAAGTTTAGTTACTTTAAATATTCATTATACTTTTAATGAATTAATGTCCTATCCTACCCGTTCGACTAACGACCCTCCACTAGTCAAGGAAGCGATGGGTGAGAGTGGACACCCATTAAACTGTCATTTTATAGGCAGTAACCTTATACCCCCCCCCCCCCTTATAGACTGACTTCGTGAATGAGGCCTACTAACGCTAAGACTGACTGTACTCATATATATATATATATATATAGATATATATATATATATATATATATATATATATATATATATATATATATATATATATATATTAAACCTATAATATTATAATAGTATAAGGGTTGAATTTTAAACTTTTAAAATTCTAGGGTTTGGAACTAAATGTGTCAAAAGTAAGACTTTACATTTACAAATTCCAAAACTTGAGGGCAAGTTTTGAAACTTTTCAAAACTCTTGGATTATCATAACTTATAAGTTTAATAAAGGTTTTATGAAAAGGCCTCTTGAATTCCATAACTTGAGGACAAGCTATGGAGTTCATAAAAAACATTTATGAAAGACCTTTCAAGTTCCATAACTTGAGGACAAGTTATGGAAGACTTAAAACCATTTTAAGATGACATTTAAAAATTAGACCTTTCATATTCCATAACTTGAGGACAAGTTATGGATTCCACCAAAAAACAATTAGATCAAAAATTCCAACTAACACAAACAATTTGCTTATGATCTAATTAAACTCATAAGTTAAGATAATTCATATCAAACAAGTTTCAAGAAATTAGCCTAATCACATAAACTAATACAAATCATGAAACTTTGACAATTATCTTTTATTTTGGATGAGAATCATCATTACCATATCAACAAAATCAGATTTTATGAACCAAAACATTTTTTGGTAATGATTCTAATCCAAAACAGGCCAAAAAACTCGAAAAACTGATGTTTGTTCATCGAACTCGTCGATCCCATTACCGGACTCGTCGAGTCCAAGGCAAAATGCACCTACTCGTCGAGTCCAAGATCCTACTCGTCGAGTAGGTGCTTTCAGACAGCTTTTCTGCTTTGAAAAATAACATATTTTGCATCAAATATAATAGAAAACCACCCATGGCTCTGATACCACTGTTGGGTTTTGTATACTACAACATCCTATGGTGTACATACAACCCTAAATGCATTGTATCTATGTTTTCTCTAATTATACATGCAATGTTGTTTCCAAAGCATTAAGCCTGCAACTAGAATGCAATTGACATAAACAATATAAAATACTAGTTAGGAGTTTACCTCTTTATGTAGCTTGTAGAACTTGATGTAATTTGGCCTTCAAGAACTTAGTGCCCCAAGTGTGACACCTCAAATGGGTCACAACGCACCTAGGACAAAGGATGACATTTGAGAGAGAATCTTGCACACCAAAAGTCCATCCTAAAAAATTGTCCTGATGATATGCAACCCAAATGGACCATGCTACTCTCGGGTCAAGTACATACCAATTATAGTTATGGGTTAGACACCTAATCCAACAATAATCACCAATGGTCACTGGACAACTATGATTCACATTAACACAGCTAGATGGTCATCTAAACTCTATTAATTCATCAATATGAAACAAAACAACAATCTTTAACACATATGGATCTTCAATCCAAATAGCAATTAAACCATGAATTCAAAGGGTCATTCAGTCACAAACACAAAGTAGAAGGTTTTAATGCCTAAATCAGAAAGTAAACACATAATGGCATCACAATGGAATGCTAAACATGGTCACGATAACAAACCACATGATTACCGACATGAATCCGCTCTCCAATCCCTTAGATCTTTGCTCCTGTCATCTTAACGGCCTTCCGGCCGCCTTCTAGACCCTCGAAACGGTAGAATAGAGGTTACTTGTCGACTAAGGATCAATGGTATTCGAGTTCTCTCTTCTGGTTGGCCGAAAATCACTTTTTATAAGAGTTAGAACCGACTTACGTACGCTGGGCATAAGTCGGTGTATGCGGAGCGTAATAAAGAAGTCATCGCGATCTGATTACGGAGCCCAAGCCTAGTAAGTTGGGCTAGGGATGAGCATTTGGACCAGGGAACCGGCCGGAACTGGTACCAGAACTCGATAGAACCGATCGGGTCGCGACCGGGACGATATTCTTGTGGATTTTTGGAACCGGGAACCGGTAGAACTGGCAAAAACCAGAACCAAATGTTGTTATTTCTTGAGGACCGGTTCCAAGATTAAAGACATGGCAAGAACCGGTAGAACCAACAGTTCGGTTCGGTTCCTTTTTCCACCAAGTTCGGTTCCTAGGCCGGTTCCAATGCTCATCCCTACGTTGGGCGTACCAACATCTACGCTGGGCATAGTCCTCAGCTCCACGTTACGCTAGGCGTAAACCCACTACACTGGGCATAGTGGGCTGCCTTCAGCCACCTTTTTCTCTTTTTGCATTCTAAGCCCAATTTCCGCTCCATTTATTTCTTTTTCACTCTAGCAACAATATACCTATGAAATATAAATTGAAACATTATAAGTACATTTTAGTTCTAAATAACAATAATTAAGGCTAAAATGTTAAGATATATATATATATATATATATATATATATATATATATATATATATATATAGGAGGGTTCAATTGAGAAAAAAAAAGTTGAGAATGAGGGAATCATCTCAGCCACACATTTATTTTGCCGCAAAACACTTAGGCGTACCTGCGGAAATGGATAACGGATAAACATGTGTTTTCTAACCAAACATGTTTCCTTAAACTATACTAATCATTACCTTAATATACACAAAAACATACTTTTTTTGTTTTTTTTAATTTTTAGAAAGTCATTTTTATCGAAAAATTATTTTAAATATATCAAAATTCATAATTTTTATTCTCTATAAATAGACATCCATATTGATATAGTGAATAAAACATTCAGCTCTCGTTATTCACAAGTGAATAAAAATCTATCAGATTTTTATTGCAGTACATTCGTTATTCACTTATAAATAAAACGAATGCTTAATTTTTTTTATAGGTTAATTATCGTTAATATATGAATATGACACGTAATAAAGTTTTCTTACTTAAAATATATTTTTTACATCATCTTTCATCGTATATTCTATTTATATATGAATAAAACGTGTATTAGTTGTCGTCATATTTTATATTCATATATGAATAAAACATTTATCAGATTTTTGTTACAGTTAATTTGTTATTCATATATGAATAAGTAGTATAAATGATACTTAAACTGTGAAAAAAATTAATTATATATTTTTATTCATAAGTGAATAACCAATGTACTGTAGCAAAAATTTGATGCATAACGATAGCTGAAAATATAAAAAAAATAAATCTTTTATTTTATTTTAAACTATATCAATATGGATATCTATTTGTAGAGAATAAAAAATCATGAATTTGGGTATATTTAAAATCATTTTTCGATAAAAATATCTTCTAAAAAATTAAAAAAACGAAAAAAATTATGTTTTTGTATATATTAAGGAAATGATTAGCATAATTTAAGGAAACATGTTTTGTACAAAAACACATATGTACTCCTTTCCAATTTCCGCTGGTACGACGGAGCTTTTGCGGCAAAAATAAAAAATGATTCCCCTATTCTCAACTTTTTTTATTTTCTCAATTGAACTTACCTCTCTCTCTCTCTCTCTCTCTCTCTCTATATATATATATATATATATATATATATATATATATATATATATATATATATATATATAGTTTAGGTTATTTTGTTTTTACTAACTATTGTGTGTCAGAATGCACAGATCTGGACCATCGGATGAATAGAATCAACAGTCATGATATGAGGGTCTATGATATTACAATAGGGTAGCATGTATCATATAATCACACAAATTTCAGCAAAATGGTATTTTGGTCAACTAACCTACTTTAAAAAAGGAAATTTTCGGATTTTAAGGGATCATTAATTCCCTTATTTTTAAAAAATCTGAATTTTTTAAATTAATTCTAATCAAATTTTAATATTATTTTTAATAATAACCGACTTTATTCAGTCAGAATAACAAAAAGTCAACAATAAACTAGTAAATAAATTTGCGGTTTTATTCTGGCAGAATATTGTTTAATTCAAGATACTTTTTATATTAAACATGCTTAAATAATTATAAAACATATTATTAAGAATAACATTTTCTAAAGAACACAAATTTTATTCTTTACGAATCACTATTTACATTCATCCGTAAAGAAAAAAACTATAAACAAATATTACATTCATTCTAACAAAATTATGACTAATAATGGTTTAAGGATTACACTTATTCTTAAAGATTAAAACTAAAAATAGTTAAAAAAAGAAAAAAAAACGCAAAATCTAACAAAAACACTAATACATTCCGAAAGAATAACAATTTATAAATTCTGACAGAATACATCCTGCTAGAATACAATATTGTTCTCCATGTTTTCTTCATTTTCCACGTTAATGACAACCTCTTCAAAACCTAAATTCACAAAGAAAACATAATCAACTTTCAAATATTAAAAATCTTAGTGCATTAAATAGAATAAAACAATAAATTCTGATAGAATGTGATATACATTCAAATAGAATATAATTATAATTTCTACAAACCAACATTAACAATCATCTCTAAACTTGCAATGTATATTATTCTGAAAGAATGTAATGTTTCATTATTTAGGATGTCATTCTATAAGAATCGAGACCAATAACAAGCATGGAAACCAATTCTATTCTGATAGAATTGGTTACGGTAATTCACTGCTTAAGTTGACAAGGAATTCAAGATTCTATTCTGACAAAATTAGAATTCGATATTCCATTCTAGAATGGAAACCAATTCTGTTATAAACAAGAATGGAAACCAATTCTATTATAAAATTAGAATTCAATATTCCATTCTAGAATCGAAATGAATATTTATAGCTATAGGTTCATAATATATATCACAAGCAAGTATTTTAGCAAAAAGTAAACTAATGCTTTTTTTTCTATCACTAACAAATACCATATGTTATTCAGTCTCACATTTCCATTAATTTCATTTCTAATGAAGATCATGCTTAACACAGAATTAATGATGAACATACTTTCCGTCCCACAAAGAACTTTTGACCAAAAAAGCAAGTCATGTGCTAAATTATTATAATCCTTCATAATGTCATTAATTAAAGAAGAATTTACAGATCACCCATTTGATGTTATACTTGTATTATTAATTCCAGTTAATGCTAGTTCATGGAGTTTAGATGCATCATATATATTCATATACGAAACTTAAAATGAGCTCCAATGACTTAAAAATGCATGAACAAATATAGAGCTTGAAATAAAAGAAAGTACTTACCTTTCTAATGTTTCCATTGATGAAGATGTTACTGCAATTAAGATCTCTATGAATGATACATGGCTCATGATTATGAAGATACTCCAAGCCTCTCAAAATCTGTCTTGACCAATTCTTCAATGCCTTCAATGAAACCCGTTTGTGTTTCTTCTTGTAATCCCTTAAATTACCTGAAGCACATGCCTCTGTGATGAAGTTTAAGGTGTTGTTTTTAGTATCCCTCCAGAAACTATAAAGAACAATGATGTTTTCATTCTCTAATGTCTGTAACACTTTGATTTCTGAAAAGAGTCTCTTGAGAACAGATGGATCTCCACCGAAGCTTCTTAGTTTTACTTGGTTCCATGCTACATCCCTTCCTTCTTCTTGATCAAATCCCATGTACACCTTCTTCACTGCACCAGCGCCTAACAGATCACTGTATCTCCCAAATTCAATCGAAAATGAATGAGTACAAAATTCAATCGAAACATCGAAATTCTAAGACCTAATTGAGATAACGAAGAGTGTAAATTAGGAAAAGTGAACCTGATAGACTTCTTCAACAAATAGCCTCGAAAGAAAGATCCCGATCCCGATGAAACGTGAACCTGACCGCCAACCTCCTCCGCCTGCAACTGTCGGCGCTTCTCGGGGTCTGCAAGTGAAATCACGGCGGCGATTGTTGCGACCGAGCCGCCTCCGATGACTGCCAGTGTTGTTCCGTCAAATGTGTCGGCTCCTAGTGCGGATACAATTAGGGTTCTTCGATTGTTTAGTTTGTAGGATTTAAGATTAGGATTGGAGAATTGTGTGGTGGTGAAAGAGACATTGTGGGAGAAAAGGGCGGAGGAGACGAGGGGGAAAGATGATCTTCAAATCGAACCCCTTCCTCTTCAAATCGATGACAGCAGACGGAAACGAAGAACTAGGTCAAATATATTTACTTTATTTCCATAATCGTAGGATTTCAATTAAATGATTTCCTTAATTAAAAGTACAAAAGGTCCAAAATACCCTTTATTGATTTATTTAATTATTTATTATTTCTTGAATTCTCATTGGTGCATTTAGGCACACAATATTTGTTGAAAACATTTGAACCTATCTCATATATATATATATATATATATATATATATATATATACTCATATCAAAATACCCCATACTTAGACTTTGCTTGCCCCCAAGCAAACTGACTTTTAATTTACCAATATCGCATAAAACAATTTATTTGAAACCCAACTATTATCCTAAGACCGCAATGCATGAATTTGTGTCTATAATTCTTAAAAACTTCCCAATACTCACAATCCTTATGAACCTTCACCCCTTAGTTTATACGACATTCATTTTTACAACCCTCCGAATCCATCCCCATAAATCTTTCTTAACCTCAAGGTATTTTTGGTTAAACTACCAAGCATACGTAACCACTAGAAAGAATTACAACTTTGATAACATAATGGAGCTCTTTGGAATTCTTCACTTCTTTTATATTTTCTTTGATTTCTTTGAATTCACCACCTTTTTGTTTGATTTTTGGTACTTTAACTTTTTGGATTTCTTTAGAATTTTGATCTTTTGATCTTCATACTTTAACTGCTCCAAAATTCTTTAAATTTTTTGGTAATCTCTCTCTCTCTCTCTCTCTCTCTCTCTCTCTCTCTCTCTCTCTCTCTCTCTCTCTCTCTCTCTCACTTTTTTAACTCATTCCTACATGCTTAAGCATGGAGCTTAACTTCAACCTTTATTGGTTAAGGTATTAGTCTAAGTGAAATGACTACATGAGCTCTCCTAGATAGATTTCAAGTACAGGCTCCAAAATTTGTTATGCCATATAAACTACCAGATTACCTTTCATATCTCATGGTTTTTCACTAATGGGAAGCCACAAATACACTATAACGTATGTTGGCTTAGGTAAACATTTGAGTTCTTATCAGATCATCTCACACAATATTAGCATTTAATTTGTTAATTATCACTAGATTTTCCTAATTAAACTATTATTTCAAGTTTATAAATTTTTTAATTTTCCTGATCTAGCAATTTTTAATTTTCCAATTTAACCGTAAACTTCTTTTTCGACCCCCTACCCCCACACTTATTTCATATAATTCCCTCATTGTATGCATAAAACTATTTAAACACATAAAAACAGTAAAAAGGGAGAAAAAGGAACAGACTCCCTTGGGGTAGTAGTGGCGAGATCGAATGGGGCTGCTAAAAGTTGCTCCATAAATTTGCTGGAAGATTGGAAACTGGAACTGCTGCTTCTAAATGTGCCAGAGAATAAAATCAAGAACACCGACTTCTGAAATGTGATGCAAAGGATTGCAAACCGATGCAATGTATAGTGACCATGATGTGGGAAAGTGTCGACCACGTCGTGTCGTCGAATGAGGAAAAATCCATATCGCGAATAATAGTGTTGCCACGACGTGGTAAGTGTTGACCATGTCGTGGTATCTTGAATGAGAACCTCCTATTGCGATGAAAAACTCCCCTACGACATAGGAAAGTGTCAACCATGTTGTGGCATTCGGGATGATACTTCTGCTTCGCATCGAAATAAAACTCCATGGCATGGAAACAACTCTTCCATGCCATAGAAATCAATGTATAGTTAGAAATGTCACTCTTCGAAAAATAATATCTCACGAAATCGACGCGCACCCCACACTTATTAAAAGTCATGGCTCTTGATTTTCAACTTCAAACTCTCACACGGCTTTTTCTTTTGTGATAAACATTAGTCGGTCCTAGCGGCTGAACTTACTGCCAGCTTTCTAAGGTTGAAAATTCTGCAAAAATCTAAAATATCAAAGAGCATCAACATGGAAAAAAAATTACATAAACCAAAAATAAAACATCCTAATTTAAACAAATTAAATACACACCAAAATAAAAATAAAACTAAGACTAAGACTAAGTCTAATAAACCTAAAAAAAATTTAATTAAATAAAAAGGTAACTCGTTCACTCATCATCCTCGTCGTCATACTGTTGCGCCCTAGATGTTCCTGCTCCATCACCCCTCTGGCTATATGGTGGAGGAAAGGTAACTGGATAATGATACCCTTGTGAAGCAAAGAATCCAGTCAATGCCCCCTTAAACCACTGCTGTCTAGTCTCAACATAATCAAATCGGTCATCCACATTCAGAGAAAGAACATCCATGCGCTGAGATAAGTAACTAAGATCAATCTCCTGCTGTGGCCACTGTTGGGCTCCTCGTGGAGCAGGTCTACGCCTCCATCTTCGTTTAGGCTCTGGCTCAGGTACACCCTCCTCGTCGGCCACGTCATCTGGTCGTATCCGTAAAATACCATCCTCACAACACTCAAGTACTCTCATCGACTCCAACAACTGTAAACTCATCGGCCTCATATCATAAAACACATCGATCTCGTGATATCCCTCGTTAACAACTAATATGATCGAGCTAAACGTGTGATGAATCCCCACCACAAATTGGGCTATCCTCTCGAAGCCCCACGGCCCTCCTCCCCATGTAATTAGCTAAAGAAACCGGGAGGTTCAGGTGCCTCCTTGGTGTAACAAGGGTCCACAGGAAAAAAATCAGTAGAAGACACTCTCTCACTATTCTTATGATGCGTGAGAGACATAGAAATCAGACGATGTAATAATTTGTAAGTGGTGGGCCGAATCATCTTCCCTCTAGGAGTGGATGGTATGTACACCCCCCCCCCAGTAATCTCAGCCCAAAATGCATTTTTGTTGTAGTTAACATGCCGTCCAATAACATAATCAGCTAGGAATGTCGGTAAGTGATCAGGCCTCATCTCATCCGAAGTATAAATCCCCATTTTAATGGCAAGCTCAATTACGTTGCACTCCCTACTCACATCACCAAGTCGAAAGGAAAAGGTTGTCCTGTCATCGGGGGCCATCCTAGGATCATAGGAAACTGTAGAATAAAACTCCAGCAAATATTCCCGATAAACAGGTTCTTGTATCCTGAACAGTTTGTCCCAACCTCGGTACACAAACAAATACACCCCACTCACATCCAAGTAGGTGTATTGCAAAAAATTCCGGATAAGTTCATCATGTCCAATTTGGGACGCCAATCCCCAGTCGAATGAAGGCACGATGTCAATTTCTTCGGTGAGCAGTAAACTAAGCTTGTTCAAATATCTACCACGAGTTTATTCATTTAGACTTTGTGGGAATTGCAAAAAGCGGTGATTGATAATTTCCTCGGGTTGGTTTCTTCTTTGAATTCTTCGATCCATAATCTGCAAAAAAAATAAGCACAAAACAAAACCACCACCAAAGAACCAGATTAAACAGATTAAAACAACAAAAGCAAAAAAAAACGTGAGTTAGGCATGTAATTACGATGTGCGTACATCCAGCGTACGTCCAGATGCTCCAATCGCTGGTTCGTACGTTGTGTTCTAGGCCACAATAAGTCCAAGAGTGTAGCTCTTAGGGTCTTAATTAGTCTAATAATGCATAATCCATCACCAATCTCATGTAAAATCGACCCTAAATCGAAATTTGTATGAACCCTAGATTTCTATTAAAGCACAATGCAACAAATTTCCAAAAATTAAACACAAATTAAAATAAAAGGGTAATCATATAACATACCTTTGTGTCGAATTCTACAAGAAAAGAAGAAAAATTGGGGCTTTTGAAGAGTACAACCGATATAGCGTAATGTTGGAAAATAAGTGAAAGAGAAAAATAAGTCAGGGAAGAACGTTTAAACCTAGTCGATGATATACGTGGGGCGTAATTCCTAAGTACGTTGGGCCTACACAATTTTCCCTTATTACGCGGTACGTAGTTTACAAGTATGTTGGGCATTTCATCAAGTACGTTGGGTGTAATTGAATGACTTTATTTTCTTTTTGTGCATTTTAGTTTCTTTTTCCATCTAATTCCATTGGGGACTTTTGAATAATGAAATTATGCACTTACACAACAGCAAAAACCCTCCGACAAGTGACACTTTATCAACGAAAATAAAAATAAAATATAACTAAAAACAAAAAAATAATAATGAATAATCAAATAAACCAAATTAATTGAAAGTTGTTCTCCGGCAACGTCGCCAAAAACTTGATTTGTGATGATATATATATATATATATATATATATATATATATATATATATATATATATATATATATATATATATATATATATATATATTAGTAAATAGTGTGAGAACGTAAAAATACTTTTTTATGTTATTATTCTGCAATGAATTTTGTATCGACAGCTTTATGTCATTATTCAGCAATGAATAAATGAATAATCAAAGTTTAAAACTAAAATTAGAATTTACTTCAAAAATCAACATACATAAGTTTATAATAGAATAATAACATTGTAATGAATATATCACTAATCAAAAGTTAATATTCATATTAGAATTACTTTAACAATACACATATACAACATTCATTACAGAATAATAACATAAACATAGTGTTTTTACGTTCTTACAATATTTATTGTTTTTATTTGAACTTACTTCTATATATATATATATATATATATATATATATATATATATATATATATATATTATATATATATATATTGTTCAAGTTTTAAATTTAATAAACTGAATTTATCACAACCGGACTAACACACACACACACACACACTAGGCAGTGAATCTAATCGTGAAACAGTATAGCTGTGGTAAGAACAAGTATCGAACACAAGGGGAACAGTGGTGAATTAATTTGGAGTTTTTGATTATAGGTTACACTAAACACATAAAAGCAATAAAGAAATGTTTTATTAAATACTTTAAATACCACTTAACATCAAATATCGATAAACTGGTTGGAAGATAGATTTCTTCGGGTACTTTGGTTTAGATAAATTACGTCTCAAATTAATGGTTAACTATTGATACAATGGATATTCATTCATTATTCAACGATTCCTAATATGACTAGTGTCAT